CTGGGCTGGGCTGGGCTGGGCTGCCCGCCTCAGCGCGGCTGTCAGCACGCAGGGGTTGTGCCCTCACAGCAGAGGGGGCAGGCAGGAGCGGGGCCCCGGGTTGGGATCTCGCGTTGCACTGGAGCATCCACGGGAGGAAACACTTCCAAAGCTTTTGTACTCAGGCCTTACCCACACCCATCTCTTCTCTGGCTGCCATCAGGGACAGCGTGGGCAGCAGGGCCAGGGAAGAGATCATCCCCTGTACTGGGCACTGCTGAGGCCGCACCCCAGATACTGTGTCCAGTTTTGGGCCCCTTGCTTCAAGAAAGACCCTGAGGGGCTGGAGCGTGTCCAGCGAAGGGAACAGAGCTGGGGAAGGGTCTGGAGCACAGTTCCTGTGAGGAGCAGCTGAGGGTGTTCAGCCTGGAGAAGAGGAGGCTCAGGGGAGACCTTATTGCTCCCTACAGCTCCCTGAGAGGAGGGTGCAGAGAGGGGGGTTGGTCTCTTCTCCCAAGTGACAAGCAACAGGACAAGAGGAAACAGCCTCAAGTTATGCCAGAGGACGTTTAGATTGGATATTAGGGAAAATTTCTTCACCAAGAGGGCTGTCAGGCATTGGAACAGGAGGCCCAGGGCTGGGGTGGAGTCACCATCCCTGAAGGTATTTTAAGAAGTGTGTGGACGAAGTGCTGAATGACATGATTTAGTGGTGGTATTAGCAGTGTCAGGTTAACAACTGGACTTGGTGGTCTTAAAGGTCTTTTCCAACCTAAAAGATTGTATGATTCTCCTGCTCCCACCCATCTGAATCACAGAGCTTTCCCCTTAACTACTGGGTTTGTGCTGATAGTGCAGTCACACCTTGAATCATAGAATCATTTAGGCTGGAAAAGACCTTTAGGAGCATCAAGTCCAACCGTAAACCTGACACTTCCACGTCCACCACCAAACCATGTCCCCAAGTCCAACCTAAAAGATTGTATGATTCTCCTGCTCCCACCCATCTGAATCACAGAGCTTTCCCCTTAACTACTGGGTTTGTGCTGATAGTGCAGTCACACCTTGAATCATAGAATCATTTAGGCTGGAAAAGACCTTTAGGAGCATCAAGTCCAACCGTAAACCTGACACTTCCACGTCCACCACCAAACCATGTCCCCAAGTGCCATGGCTTTCAGCTGATCGGACAGCACTGCATCTTGTTCCCCTGCTCAGTCACAGCAGCATGTCACTAAAATAGGTCTGAGCGCAGAAGCGTGGCGCAACAAGCAGTTGTTAGTGAGCCACTATCTCCCTGTCAACATGGGGATCACGGAAGACAGCTAGACACCTCTCCCTTACACACCCTCAGCTGCATCTGAGGGCAGGTCTCGCAGTGGCTGCTGTCCAGGAACAGCCCCACCTGTCTCTCCCACTTACCTGGCTGTTGTTTTTCTTTTCTGACTTGGTACAGGAACCCACCATCTTGGCACAGCATGAAAGTGCCTAATCAGCTCACATGAGGGAGCAGTGTTGAAACCAATCCCAGACTTCACAGAACTTTTCGCTTTTATCCCTACCTCAGCCAGAACACAGAGATCTTTTCACCAGCTGTTCTTAGTATTTCAGACCAGAACAAGGATTTGCCTCAGTTTCAGGTACACCCCACCATGTTAAACCCATCTAGCCTGAAGGAGACAGCGATGGTTAGAGTTTCTTCCTGCCAGGTACAAGTGCGGTTCTCTGGTCAGGGAAGAGAAACCTACACGCAGAGAAATTAACTGAAGTAGTTCAGTAAACAGATTTATTTGTTTAAACAAGACTTTATTGAAGACACTTTAGAAGTTTATGTACAAAACAACATTCCCACCCCCATATCAGGATGTTAGTCACCCACTGGGAACAAAGCAAGTGCCTGGTGTGTGCTGTCAACCTGGAGACAACTCAGAGGTTGCTGAGGAATTTACGCAAGTGCCAAATTCACTTAATTTAGATCTGGACAGTTTCAGCCTTGGCTCAGTTAGGACTGAAGGAAAACACAGGACCTTTTCCAGAGACGTTTCCAGCAGGCTGAACATACGGGAATGTGGCAGCCTACACTGGTCTTACTCTGAGGTCAGGTCATTTACTTCTGTAGAGAGCAAGAGACCCACTTTGGTTTTGGAAGCGAAGAGGAACCAGCCCCTGGATTTAACTTGGAATGTTTGATCTACTTCAGACAGTTCCAGGAGATACCCATCACTACAAGCACAGTAGTATTTGCAGGAAGCATTGGAACAGAGCAGTAGCAATAGCAAATAAAAGAGTCAGCCACCTCACTTTCCAAATACACCTAGAGAGAGGCTGGATATCAGAGTGGCTATTTCGGCTAGCAGGTCAGAAAACCCTAGAGACACAGACATTAGTGGCGCAAGTTAAACAGTGGCTGACATGCTGTTCCTGTAGCATACTGTGCATTTCTACCACGGTAGAGTTTCTCCTTGCCAGTCCAGGAAGGAACCATTTTCTTTTTCACCAAGACGGTCCAGAACGGAGAGAATACCTGGGATAGCCTCTTGCACCTGCATGGGAGCCTAGAGCGAGGCAAGGTTAGATTATTAGTGGGAATATTCTACAGAAGAGAATCAAATGCATTTAAGGAGTAACTAGAATCACGTGGGGTGTATTTTCATGTTTCATAGTGTGCCTCTGCAGCTCATGGAAGTGTATCCTGTACAGTGGGTTCTTGTTCAAGCGTTGGGACAAGCAGGGAGTCATACTTTCACATTTTCAAAGAGATGTCGCTTACCATGTTTCCGCCCATGTCTGTCTGAAGCCAGCCTGGATGCAAAGAAATACAGAGAATTCCATCCGATTTCAAGTCTGCAGCAAGACACCTGGTGATCATGTTCAGTGCAGTCTACAAGAGTGGAAACCATCTATTAGTGTTCTGGTTTTACAAACCTTGAGCAAGACCTTAAGCCAAGCTAATTGTGACATCCCTTCCACCATGCTGTCTCTTGAGAAATGAAGGGGCAGTAACAGTATCACAGTAATTTATTCAGACTTAGTGAGGGCTTCATTCTCAGGTACCTGTTAAGAGAAGGGTTGTGAAAGCTCTATCGCCATAAGCTTACTGCCCAAAGATGAAACTAAGTTATGGTGGAAGATAAAGTAGCATTTGAAACTCTTAAGGAGCTGTGTGGAAAATAATACTGACATAAGGACTCTGTTTTTCTGCAGTAATCACTACACAAACATTCAAGTTTTTTACTTCTGAACGGGGAAAACAAGCGTATTAACAGCTTATGAGTAGGTGGTGTAGGAGAAACTGTATGTCTGATCTTGACTATTTGTACAAACTCAGTCTCTGGATGTGACAAAACTAAGAACTCCACCTCTCACTATCATTACCATGTACAGGCCAACACACCTTTTGTTGAGTTTCATGCCTGATGTCTTGCTTGGACTGGAGAGGAACACAGCTAATAGGACACACATGTGATGGCATCAGTTCTTCCCTGAATGCCAGGTCACTCTGAAAGCAATCTACAGCAGCTATTGATGGCACACTTGTGAGCCAGTTGGCATGCTTGCTCCAGATGTACGGTTTTCCACTTCCACCCACATGAAGAACAAGGACAGTTCCTGTGTCAGCCTACCCAAGGAACTGCTGCACACCACTAAGATCATCCTCTTAAGCTCAGAGTGAACTCAGAGGCCTGCCCTCACCCACTGAGCACAGCCCAGGGAAGCCTACAAACCTTTGCTATCCTGTAGGGGTAGACCTTGAGGAACATCTCATTTGCCTGGACAAGTTGCATGGAGGCAGCAAGAGAGGACATATTGATAATAGCAGCTCTGTGGCAGCCCATTCCTGTGCCCAGCTGGGCTGCTTTCCTCAGAAGCGGTAGAAACGCCTGTGAAAACAAGAGTTTGTTTGAACTTGGCCAGCTTGCTCTTGGCCCATTCAAGGCAAGCCAGACTCTCAGGTTCTGCTCTAAAAGAACTGCAGTACGTACAACTTTATGCCACCAGCATAGAACGGTGATGGCACCCCAGACAAGCTGACCATTGGAAACCTTTCTATCACAGCCAGCTGGAAGTAGCAAGGACCTTCAGTCTCTCCTGCCCACCTCCTAGCCCAACCTGTCCACTAAAGTGACCTCATACCACATGGTTTTAAATGAAGAGAAAGATCCTTGATAGAAAGGATCTCTTTCTGCTCTCTAGGCATGCCATTTGATATCAGACCCGTATCTGTACAGTTCCAAGGTGGCAAACGCTTGGGTTACATGTCCAGCTCACTAGTGGAAAAGCCTGTTATAGTACCATAGATTAAACACATTCCTCCCAATTCTTACCTTGGTGACCATCAGCTGGGCAACTGTATTGGTTTCATAAATGGTGAGCATTGTCTCTGCTGTGACTTCTTCCAAGGAGGCAAGCACATTGATGCCAGCATTGTTAATGAGGCAGTTTAGGCCTTTGTCTCCCACAATTTCTTCCACTTCCTTGATTACTTTCTTGATGCTGTTTTCACAGACCACATCTGCATGGAGGAGCCGAGAACAGAAAAGCCACAGTGAACTGTGTGGTTCACATGGTCACTGTACAACACGTGCTAAACCAAAGCTAAGGCATCAGTCTGAATGGGGACATTTAGGCAGCACACAGAGATGACAATGCCCAGAAGATTTTGCGTGTTTCCCCAGTGTTATCTTAAAATGAGGGTGATTGTCTTCAGCTGATAGAGGTCATGTACAGCTGCTGATCACCCAGGAGACCAATTTCTTAAGATGCACTCACCAGACTTAGTTGAACATATTTCTGTATAAGCTCTTTACTCACCCAGTTGGAGGAGCTTGATGTTGCTGTATTGCTTGCTAAGCTGCTGGAGTTCCTAGGAAGAAGAAATTATTTGGGTTACCTTTTATAAGTATATGTGTGTGTGTGTATATATATATAAAAATCTCCATGGCTGATACATAAAACAGTTTAAGATCTGCACCTCCAGAATTGTAACTGCCATTTATTTTCACAACTGGACTGAAGGCAGTGATATTACTTTGGTTTTCAACCTTCTGAGCAGCTTTCCTGAGAGCAAGATCAACTGCTCCAAGAAACTGGACTCTTCACCTGCTCAGTCAAGATAGCAGCACGCTAGATTAGTTAGTTCTCGATGTGAACAACTCAAGGGTGTGTTTGCAGTGTAACCAAAGGTCTTCGATCAAGTGGCTATCATTGCCAGTTCCACAGCAGACCTGGTGCTCAGACTGCATTCCAAGCCAGTAATTCCCCACTTCTCTAAGAAAAGCATAATTCTTCAGAAGCTCAGCTAGTGCTGGACATCAGTTCGGGCAACAGGTATGCTGAAGAAAAGCATACTGTTCGCAGTTTGGAATTACTGTTTGCAGGAAAAGTTTCCTAGCAATTTTCCCAAGGAAATTCTGTTTCTCAGCACTCTCGTTAGCTTCAGTTCTTGTAAAAGGTAAAGCACACATGAAACATGTTAGATACACAGCAACTGTCCATGAGAACAATCCTCTCCCTGCTAGATAACTGTAATTCAGGCATCTGCCTACTACCTCTCAGTAGAGGGATGAGTAGTGTTCTTGGAGAACGTTAGTACTACACTGGTGTTGCTGCTGGACAAAGTGTGTCCAAATTGGATTTATAGGCCCAGCTGGAACACTTAGGTTTCTGTGCCATGTAGCCAAGTGGGAAGTGTGGCCAAATGTAACAGATGGATTACGTACTCCCAGCCACGTTTAGGAGACTGAGCAACCGTGGCCAAACATTCCAGCTCAAACAAATCCATTTCTTTAGGAGCCCTTTGGGAATAGGGGTCAGGAGGACTGGTTTTGAAAGAGTACTTCTCTGCCACTTGGAGACACTTAGGGACTCCGTGTTCTCTGTCAAGCTATCATGCATTACATCTTTTATCTCAGTTCATCCTCTGCAGGATTCTCTCCAGACTTGTTTAGAAAACTTGTTCTCCCACCGAGGACGATCTACAACTACAGTTAAGGCTATTAAGGGGAGGGGGAAGGAAGGGGAACAAGCCAGAAGCACAAAACCAGATGACATTCCTTCCCTTGGATAAGACTTAATGGACAGTTTTCAACAGATTAAAGGCCCAGAACACACTATCTTTGTTCACTGATAGTCAGGCATGAAATAGTCCTGCCATGTCAAGGCCTGCAATAATTACGTGGCTTTGGACTGTCCACTGGACTGAAGTATTATTTACTTGATAATAAACTGAAGTAATACTGAAGTAAATACTGAAGTATTATTTACTTGATAATAAACTCCAGACATGCTCCGTATTCTCGAGGTTTGTTTCTTTATTTATAGTCAGATAGCTTCACTCTCTGACAGAAACAAGCTACTAACTTTTGCTAAAAGGCCAGAAATGTTTTGTGTAGTGACAGCAACCGAGAGGCTTCTGAAGTGAGTAAGCATATGTTCAATTAAGAACTCCAAACACTGTAGCATTAAGCATTCTCTAGAAAATAAACAGTATGAAATTACAATTGCTGCATGCAAACCAGGTTTAAAACTCAATGGTTTTTCCATTTACTTAATTACTTAGTTAACAAGTAACTCCCACTTCAGCGGTTTAAGTTTCTCAGAAGCAGCTTCCAGGCATAAAGCTGACTTAGACCGCTTTGGTCTTCAAGAAAGTGACTCCACCTGACAAACATAAGCTGAAAAATCCATTTAGGAAATCTAAAAATTGCAGAAAAGCCTATTCTTTCCCCTGCTGTCACTAGAAGGAAGATGCAGGGAGGAGCTCAGAGACAGGTTTGTGGCAGCGCGACCAGATGCAGGCATTTCAAGCCACCAGTCATATATGCTGCTTCTCCTCTTCTCCCACCCCAGTAGTTTTGATCAAAGAGATCAAAAGCCTCCTGTGTCCAGAGAACTCTGAAAATATCACTGCAGTGCACTAGTTATTGCTAATTATTGGCTCCTCACTGAAGGGATAAGCTTTGCTGAAACTCACTGCGGTCATATGTCAAATGCCTTGTTTTCCCACCATTAAAAACAAAACCAACAAAAAAAAAATCCCCAAAACAAACCAACCAAGCCAAAACAACAAAACAAACCTACACCATCAAAGTTGTCTGCAAGGGGTGTTTTTTTTTTTTTGCAGCAGACTTGTGACAAATAGGTTAAATCCCTGGGAAGACAAGATCTCCGAGCACAGTCTAACAGCCAGTGCAGCCCATCATGGCAATGCATCTGTACAAATCAGCTCATTGGTACTGCTGCTTGAAGTGCAGCTTGTTTATTAATGTCAGTTTACAGCAGTTTCATTTAAAGACAGTAGGTACAGCCAACATATCCCAGGCTAAGTCATTTTTAGTCGGTGTACCGTGGTAGCCAATTTAAAAACAAACAAGACAAACAAAAGCGACAAAAACCCCACAACACAACACCCTAATACTGTGTTTAGCACAGCAGCTCTAGAAGTGCTCCACACCTGAACAGTTACCCCTGAGAATCAACTCCTTGGGATTCCAAGAAAAATTTAAACTCTGATTAGCATCTGTTGTTTCCTGCTTGCTGATTTTAATTACGATTAACAGTGAGTCAGCCTACTCCAATTTAAACAAGATACTCTGGCACTCGAGGCTCCAGATACAGATTCATCAGCGCACAGGATATTTATTGCTAGATTTCAACCAGGAATGTTATGTTGTCTTTGTCATTTAGCAAGATTTACTTTGCCTTCTTTATGAAAGCATTATTCATTCCAGTTACAACTCTTGGAAAGAACCGTATGAGGCCAGTTGGAAGCCATCAAGCCAAACTAACAGCCTGTAGGCAAAGGGTACTTGGGTATCCTTTCACATCACCCTGCTCGCACTCAGGACAAAGTCAAAGATGTATTGTATTTGCCCGTTCTCCCTGAGACAGGCTATTCAATATCGCAGTGTACAGCCAACTCACTGTTTGATTGTGTAATAGCTGACACCAAGCTGCTGCAGACTGCCCCAGATCCAGTCCTCTCTGACTCAGGAAGAGCCAGACCTTAATGCTGTAGTAAATGCAAAACACTTTCAGAAAGAAAAAAAAAAACCCAAACCCACAACACTGCAATAACCCAAAATTAGAAAGACTTCAAAAATGCCCCCTTTGCCTGATATAACACATCTATCTTGCGAGAGCAATGCTCCAGAGACTGCTCAGCTGCTCTCTCCAACAGCAGACCGCATGGCTAAAATACGCAGCAAAGAGGAAACAAAACGTGACAGAGACAGTGTGCAGAAGCACTTCAGTGGGAGCTCTGTGTCTGCAGGGGAACAGACACGGCTCTGTTAGTAACACTATCTCCTACTTCAGAGGAAGGGAAACAGCACATTAAGCCCTGGAAGCTTTCCAGAGCCCAGTAGATGACTCTGGTGCAGTGAGGAACTGAACGCTTTCTTGTTCACCTGGGAACACACTTGGGCTGGCGGGGAGAGCAGGAGGAACAAGAGATGCTCCTGTCCTGAGGTCCCACATTCAGCTCCCAGCACAGCTTAGCAGAGCCAGGCTGAGTACAGGAAGCACTGTGAACAGGATGCCTTCAGCTACCTTGCTTCCCCAGAGCCAGCTCTTCCTTCCGTATCGCAGCAAGTCGGAAGGGGGACGACATGGGCTACACCATCATTAGGTGTAATCTCAGACTTTCGGTCAGAGTTTTTCCCTTTTATGGGGAAGAAAGAGCAAGAAAGAAAAGCAGGAGAGGGGGAGCATTACGGATGGGTCCCTGAGCCCATACAGGCTGCCTGACAATAACCGTACTGTGATTTTGTCCACGTGGAGTGCAAAGGCAGGACGTCAGGATTAATTTGCGAGAGATCTGTAGCAGCTTCTGCGCTCAGTACCGGAGCAGCCCAAGTAAAGGCAGATCAGAATCAAAGTGTGGCTGAAGGAGTCTAGTACGGTACTTTTCAAGGAGGGGCAGTGGTTATCTAGATGCGCCTGCAGGCCTGCTGCATGTTATCGTGTGATCTACAGCCCATTTGTTAGGCAAATGTTCTGTGGAGGCCACCTAGGAGCTATTCAGCACAAGAACTCAAGTTATTACAACTTCTGCCAGCACAGACTCACATGCAAAAGCTTGCAACTGTTCAGCATTATCCCATGGCTAGCAAGTTGCGGGAGACTGCTGCGTTCTGCAGTAAGCAGAGGAAAGCAGAGTCAGACTCTCCTCCAGGATCTCTTTCTAAAATCAGGTCCTTAGGGGCTCGCCTGTCCAGTTCAGAGGACTCCAAACTATGCAATTATCGGTGTAATGGCATACGTCTGCCGAGAGATTCTCTGGATAACTCTCAGCTACCAGGGAATTGCTGCTGACTGTTGTCCCCAAGATGGGTGCTGGATTTGCCAGGAGCTAAGCATATTTAATCAATTTTCCTCTAAAAACTGGAAGATGATCTTTAAAAGGCTTTTCATGTAAGCTCTTCCCATCCTTTTTCCTCTCCTGCATTCTGCAACAGGAAAATGCTACTCTACCAGACCAGATGTGAGCAGAATTTAAGAGAACTGCCCAAAGTTGATGTTCTCCAAATTCACCCTCTAATCCAGGAGAGGAAGTGGTGGGCAGTGCAGTCACATTAAGCAGGATTTTTCATAGGGTCACTTACCGCAAAGCAAAGTGGGAGGAAACAAAATCAGACCATTTGAATCGCTGTCAAGAGAAAAAGAAAGCACTGACAGCTCAGGTGTGCAGAGAAGGAACAAGTCACTCCACACCCAGTCTGCATGGTCAACAAACAAGTCTTGAAAGGGCAAAGCCCATTTCATGGGCACTAAGACAAGTCTGCACTGCCTGCCTCTGGACCGCAGGAATCTGAACTCTGGGTTTTCAAGATGTGACTGGAAAGTCAGTGAAGGCAAATTTTT